GGAAAATGTCCAGGGAAGAACAGAATAATTGTACGCAATAGGTACAAATGTAGTGCCAGTCCCAGGCACATTGGAAAGCAACAATTGCTGGCATATCAGACAGCTGAAGAAGCAATGCTCTAGATCAGCGTTTCTCAATCTGGGGGTCGAAACCCCTGGGAGGGAGGTTGCAAAGCGAGTGTCAGAGGGTCGCCAAAGACCATCAGAAAACACAGTATTTTCTTTTGGTCATGGGGATTCTGTAGGAAGTTTGGCCCAATTCTATCATTGTTGGGGTTCAGAATGCTCTTGGATTGTAGGTGAATCCCAGCAACTACAACTCCCAAATGCCAAGGCCTATTTTCCCCAAATTCCACCAATGTTTGGGCATATTGAGTATTTCTGCCAGGTTTGGTCCAGCTCCATCATTGTTTAAGTCCAGAGTGCTCTCTGGATGTAGGTGAACTACAACTCCCAAACTCAAGGTCAATGCCCACCAAACTTTCCCAGTATTTTCTGTTGGTCATGGGTGTTCTGTGTGCCAAGTTTGGTTCAATTCCATCAGTGGTGGAGTTCATAATGCTCTTTGATTGTAGGTTAACTATAAATACCTGCAACTACAATTCCCAAATGACAAAATCAATCCCCCCCAACCCCACCAGTATTCAAATTTGGGTGTATCAGGTATTTGTACCAAATGTGGTCCAATGAATGAAAGCACATCCTGCATATCAGATATTTACATTATGATTCATAACAGTAGAAAAATTACAGTTATGAAATAGCAATGAAAATAATTTTACGGTTGGGGGCCACCACAACATGAGGAATTCTATTATGGGCTCACAGCACTAGGAAGGTTGAGAACCACTGTTGTAGATCAAGACTTTTTCAACGTTTCCACTCGGGACCTCTTTTGGCTCAAGAAATTTTTACATGACCCTGGATACCAGAGGTATATAAAATAGGTATAAAATCAGACATTTACTGTTCAAATCAGCATTTGCAAGGTTTGCTAAACAGGCTGATTTTCCTTTTAATGAAGTACAGCTGAAGCATCTTCTGCAGAGTCCACTGTAAACACAGTGCAATGGATTTGTGTAAATGTTTAAAACAGTTACTAGGTGGTGTAAAAACTGCTTGGGACCCCAACATGGAGCTATGGAGACCCCATTTGGGATCAGAACCCTTAGTTTAAGAAGTAGTGCTCTAGATGACTAAAGATCTAACAGTACTACAGCACTTCATCACATTTCCAGACACTACTTGCTTGCATGTCAAGTTTTGTAAAAGCCAAGTTAAAAAACAGGTCAATTTCCTCATGAAACTGAATTCTACAAATCACTGAAAATACATTAACACATTCTGATCCAACACCATCTACAGAAGAAGAAAAAATACAACCAAAGCAGATCAAACAAGCCTATGGCAGACTCCAATACTGCCATGAGCAAAATCCCATGCAATTTGCATTTGAGAGCTTCTTATGTGTTAAAGATCTATAGCTATGTTAATTTCTTTGAATTAAAAATCCAATTGCCTAAAAGACTGAGCCAAGAATTTTAGTATTTTGGAGATTTCCTCCCTCCACCTACATTATATCCAGTTTAATCAAGTCTGGGTGAAACTAATGCCTAAAAGAAAATATGGATTAGAAGCAGGAGAAGAAGAGTGTGATCCTGGGTTCATATTTGAGCCTGGAACCCCAGGTTTCAGCAGTGACCAGGGGAGCATTTGCACAGTTAAAACTTGTGTGGCAGCTGCGCCCGTACCTTGGGAAGTCTGACTTGGCCATGATAGTCTGTTTACATCCTGTATAGGCTACTGCAATGTGCTCTACATGGGTTGCCTTTGAAGACTGTTCGGAAGCTTCAAATGGTCCAGAGGGCAGCAGCCAGGTTGCTAACAGGAGCAGCGCTCAGAAAGCATACACACTCTGTTGTGTCAGCTCCACTGGCTGCCAGTTTGCTACTGGGCACAATTCAAAGTGCTGGCATTAGCCTATAAAGCCCTAAATGGTTCCAGCCCAGCTTACCCGTCTGAATATCTCTCTCCTTATGAACCATCTAGGAACTTAAGATCATCTGGGGAGGTCCTGTTCTCAATCCCACCTTCTTTGCAGGCGCATTTGGCTGGGACGAGAGACAGGGCCTTCTCAGTGGTGGCCCCTCAACTGTGGAACTTCCTCCCTAAAGATATTAGATTGGTCTCCTCCCTCCTAACCTTCTGGAAAAAAGTAAAGACCTGGCTCGTCGAACAAGCATAATAGATAAGTATGAGACTATGAAAGAGTGTACATGGAACAGCTTAGACGATGTTAATGGAAAATGAGTTTAACTGGAAGACATTGGTGATTATATGTTTTTAATGGTTTCTATATTGTTTTTATATGGATTTTTATGTCATGTTAAATGTTTTAATGGTATTTATGACTGTTGTGGCATCAAATTGCTGCCAAATTGTAAGCCGCCTTGAGTCGCCTTTGGGCTGAGAAATACGGTAAATAAATAAGAGGAACACACATCACTAGGCTCCCAGGTGAAGTTGGCTATGGAAATGCTGAAATTCTAGACAACACCGTGTGTTTAATTTAGTGCTACTCTGCATTTTGACTGTTGTGATCTTGATCAAAGTGAGAATTTAAGCATATGATGCTGTTTTGATTCTGATAGTTGAGAAACCCAAATAGCTAAAATCCATTGCATGTGTTAAAAAGTGTGTGTCACTCTATACAAATAAAAGCTTTACTATCCAAGGGGAACCCATGACCTATCTCAAAGGAGAGATGTACCTTGGGATTCCAAACAATTTCAGACGCTGCCAGACCCCTGAAGCCACTGTCCATGCTATTCTGACGGATGCCAAGAGGATATATGCATCGCTTTTAGCTTTATGTGAGTGTGCACTGCCATATAATCCAGTTCAAAGCAGATAATCTGAATTTTATATGGCAGGGTAGAGGAGACGTCAGACACAATCTACACTGCCATATAATATCCAGATTATCTTTTCGAACTGGATTATTTGGCAGCGTAGACTCATATAACCCAGTTCAAAGCAAATAATCTGGATTATCTGCTTTGATAGTATTCATTACATGGCAGTGTAGATCCAGCCTCAGGCTTCCTCAGTAAGCCACCAATGACATCTTACACATTGTTCAGCAATATAAAGGAACAGTGATTCCTAAACTGATTGAAACTCAAGGGCCATGGGCCGAATCAAGTTTGTAGTTTAGGGAGGATTTTCTGGGGTTTGTAGCTTAGGGAGGATTTTCTGGGGTTTGTAGTTTAGGGAGGATTTTCTGGGGTTTGTAGTTTAGGGAGGATTTTCTGGGGTTTGTAGCTTAGGGAGGATTTTCTGGGGTTTGTAGTTTAGGGAGGATTTTCTGGGGTTTGTAGCTTATGGATGATTTTCTGAGGTTTGTAGCTTAGGGAGGATTTTCTGGGGTTTGTAGTTTAGGGAGGATTTTCTGGGGTTTGTAGCTTAGGGATGATTTTCTGAAGTTTGTAGCTTAGGGAGGATTTTCTGGGGTTTGTAGTTTAGGGAGGATTTTCTGGGGTTTGTAGCTTAGGGAGGATTTTCTGGGATTTGTAGTTTAGGGAGGATTTTCTGGGGTTTGTAGCTTATGGATGATTTTCTGAGGTTTGTAGCTTAGGGAGGATTTTCTGGGGTTTGTAGTTTAGGGAGGATTTTCTGGGGTTTGTAATTTAGGGAGGATTTTCTGCGGTTTGTAGTTTAGGGAGGATTTTCTGGGGTTTTTAGTTTAGGGAGGATTTTCTGGGATTTGTAGTTTAGGGAGGGTTTTCTGGGGTTTGTAATTTAGGGATTTTCTAGGGTTTGTAGTTTAGGGAGGATTTTCTGGGGTTTGTAGTTTAGGGAGGATTTTCTGGGGTTTGTAGTTTAGGGAGGATTTTCTGGGGTTTGTAGTTTAGGGAGGATTTTCTGGGGTTTGTAGTTTAGGGAGGGTTTTCTGGGGTTTGTAATTTAGGGATTTTCTAGGGTTTGTAGTTTAGGGAGGATTTTCTAGGGTTTGTAGTTTAGGGAAGATTTTCTGGGGTTGTTGTTGTTTAGGGAGGATTTTCTGGGATTTGTAGTTTAGGGAGGATTTTCTGTGGTTTGTAGTTTAAGGAGGATTTTCTGGGGTTTGTAATTTAGGGAGGATTTTCTGGGGTTTGTAGTTTAGGGAGGATTTTCTGGGGTTTGTAGTTTAGGGAGGATTTTCTGGCATTTGTAGTTGAGGAGTAGGTAATAGTAAAGGTAAAAGTCTTCCCCTGACATTAAGTACAGTTGTGTCTGACTCTGGGGGTTGGTGCTCATCTCCATTTCTAAGCCAAAGAGCGTTATCCGTAGACACTTCCAAGGTCATGTGGCGAGCATGTCTGCATGGAGTGCCGTTACCTTCCCGCTGGAGTGGTACCTATTGATCTACTCACATTTGCATGTTTTCGAACTGCGGTACCTATTGATCTACTCACATTTGCATGTTTTCGAACTGCTAGGTTCTTTGGTGGAGAGAGAACCTGGGGCTGACAGCGGGAGCTCACTCCGCTCCCTGAGTCCGCTTCCTTTGGGTCACCAGTTCAGCATCTCAGCGGCTTAACCCACTGCGCCACCGGGGTCTCCTTTACTGAACTACAAACCTCAGAATTCTGCAGGAAGCTGAAACTGGATTTTAAGTGGATTTTTTTCCCTCCCTCCCGTGTGATGAGGCGAGACACTGCGGTTCCTTCCCAAACCCACCTGGTCTTCTTCCTCCTCTTTCCGCCACCTGCAAGGCTTCTTCCCTCCTTTTTCCTTGGCGGAGAGAGAGGAAATGCCATTTCCGCCTCGGACACCTCCCTCTCTCCCTCTCTCTCCCTCTCTTTCCTCCTTTCCCGGCGCACCAGAAAGAAGACCGTGCGAATCACCCTCCCAGCTCCTGGGCACCTTGGCAAAGCGGCCAAAGGAGAAGCGTGGAGGCGAGCGAGGCGAGCCCGCATTCCCCGGAACGCCCCGTTTGCCCCGCTTTGGGCGCTTACCTTCGGGGGACTCGCCCTGATCGGCTCCTCCAGCCGCGCCGGCTCTTCCTCATGCCCTCCGCTGGTGGCACTGCTGCCGCCGCCGCCGCCGGGCAAGGGAGCGAGGCGAGGAAGGGGCCCCGGCCGCCAGGCGGGAGGATGAGCCCGGCCTCTGCATTCGCCCTCCTCCTCCTCCTCCCTCTCGCCGCCTGCTTTGCGGAGGAGGCTGAGTGAGGAAGGAACAGCAGGAATGCCCTCGCCTCGCCTCGGCCGCCTTTTCCGCCGACGCCGAAATCCTCGCGCGGGAGCCGCCTCCTGACCGAGAGGAGCAATGGCAGCTGCGCAAGACAGGCAGGGATGGAGAGAGAGGTAGATAGATATAGGTAGGTAGGTAGGAAGATGTGTAAATAGGTAGGTATTTAGGTAGGCAGGTAGGTAGATAGATAGTTAGTTAGGTAGGTAAGCTGATCGATAGGTAGATAGATAGGTACATAGTTAGGTAGGTGGATAGATAGATAGATAGATAGGTAGGTAGGTAAGTAGATAGGTAGGTAGGTAGATGTGTAAACAGGTATTTAGGTAGGCAGGTAGGTAGATAGGTAGATAAGTAGATAGGTAGATAGATAGGTAGGTAAGTAGATCAATAGGTAGATAGGTACATAGGTAGGTAGGTGGATAGACAGATAGGTAGGTAAATAAGGTAGTTAGGTAGATGTGTAAATAGGTAGGTATTTAGATAGGTAGATAGATAAGTAGATAGGTAGATAGATAGTTAGGTAAGTAAGTAGATTGATAGGTAGATAGATAGGTACATAGGTAGGTAGGTGGATAGATAGATAAGTAGGTAAGTAGATAGGTAGGTAGGTAGATGTGTAAATAGGTAGGTATTTAGGTAGGCAGGTACGTAGATAAGTAGATAGGTAGGTAAGTAGATTGATAGGTAGGTAGGTACATAGGTAGGTAGGTAAGTAGATAGGTAGGTAGGTAGATGTGTAAATAGGTAGGTATTTAGGTAGGCAGGTACGTAGATAAGTAGATAGATAGGTAAGTAGATTGATAGGTAGGTAGGTACATAGGTAGGTAGGTAGGTACATAGGTAGGTAGGTAAGTAGATAGGTAGGTAGGTAGGTAGATGTGTAAATAGGTAGGTATTTAGGTAGGCAGGTAGGTAGGTAAATAAGTAGATAGGTAGGTAGGTAGGTGGATAGATAGATAGATAGGTAGGTAAGTAGATAGGTAGGTAGATGTGTAAATAGGTAGGTAGATAGGTAGGTAGATAAGTAGATAGGTAGATAGATAGTTAGGTAGGTAAGTAGATCGATAGGTAGATAGATAGGTAGGTAGGTAGATAGTTGGCATTTGGTACCCCCTAAAGCTGAGACAGTGCAACCTCCCAAGACAACTCAGTAAGGCTACGTCTCCACTATAAAATTAATCCGGTTTGACCCCACTTGGACTGCAATGCTCAAGGCTATGTGATTGTGGGAGCTGCAGTTGAGTGAAGCACCAGTGGTCTTGGACAGAGATGACTATCAGGAGTGCTTTGATTGTGTGTTCATTAATGGCAAGGGGTTAGACTGGATGGCTCATGAGGATCTCTCCTAACTATGATTTTGCATCTCTCTCATTTTCAAGTTGTTGCAAAGGGCTAAGTTGATGCAAAGCAGCAAATGGAGCTCACACCTAGGCAAGGTGCTTTGTATCTGGCTAGGTTATGTTGGCACATGAGGTAGACAGTCTTTCCAGCACCTCCCATCTTTTCTGAAAGTGAAACCAAACGCACACACGCACACACACACAAAAAGTCAATATCGGCCTTCTGGGTCCACGGAAATCTATCTGTTTATGTTTATTATTATTATTTGAAGCACAACAAGATTAGTACACAACAAACAAGCTCACTATGCTGGTGGTTGTATTAGATCACACATCGGACACTTCCGAAGAGTCTAGGATTATGTGATGTATCAGTGAATAATGCGTGCAGATCCCAATAAGGTGGCTTTTTGCAGCTGACAGATGGTAATTTTGTCAGCACCAATTGTTTTTAAGTGCAGGCCAAGGTCTTTAGGCATCTAGTGTGTTGATCACCACCACTGGGACCACCTTGACCAGCTTGTGCCAGAGTCTTTGTAGTTCAATCTCTATTATTGTTGTTATTGTTGTTGTTGTTATTATTATTATCCCGCTTTTTCTCTCTAAAAAAAGAGTCTCAAAGTGGCTTTATTGATTTCATCATCTGTTGTTGTTGTTCATTCGTTCAGTCGTCTCCGACTCTTCGTGACCTCATGGACCAGTCCACGCCAGAGCTCCCTGTCGGCCGTCACCACCCCCAGCTCCTTCAAGGTCAGTCCAGTCACTTCAAGGATGCCATCTTGCCCTTGGTCGGCCCCTCTTCCTTTTGCCTTCCACCTTCCCCAGCATAATTGTCTTCTCTAGGCTTTCCTGTCTCCTCAGCGATTTAACCCACTGCTCCACCGGGGACTCTCGGTGTAAACTAGGCAAAAGAGTTCATTCTTCCAACCTGGACATTTCATCATCTACTCTGCATAATTAATGTTCTTCGACATCTCTTTAACAAGCTATGGAGTCCTGGGAGTTGCAGTTTGGTGGGCCACCAGCTCCCTTAGACAGAGAAGGCAAGTGACCTTGTAAAACTACAGTTCTCATGATTTCATAGCTGTGGCTGATAAACTGGTGGCAAACAGCATTAATTCATCAACAGATTCACCCCATGTCTTGAAAATATTCCAAAATAAATAATAATCCATAAAGCAGTCTTTAGTTTTGCCATTTTATATAAGGCACACCAGTTTACTGAGGTGTTCTCGAAGGCTTTCATGACCGGAATCACTGGGTTGCTGTGTTTTCCGGGCTGTATGGCCACATTCCAGAAGCATTCTCTCTTGACGTTTCGTCCGCATCTATGGCAGGCATCCTCAGGGTTGAGGGGTCTGTTGGAAACTAAGTAAAGATTTTCCCCTGACATTAAGTCCAGTCGTGTCCAATTCTGGGGGTTGGTGCTCATCTCCATTTCTGAGCCAAAGAGCCAGCGTTATCTGTAGACACTTCCAAGGTCATGTGGCCAGCATGACTGCATGGAGCGCCATTACCATCCCACTGGAGCGGTACCTATTGATCTACTCACATTTGCATGTTTTCGAACTGCTAGGTTGGCAGAAGGTGGGGCTAACAGCGGGAGCTCATGCCGCCCGCCGAATTCAAACCTGCAACCTTTCGGTCAACAAGTTCAGCAGCTCAGCGATTTAACCCACTGCTCCACCGGGGGCTCTCGGTGTAAACTAGGCAAAAGAGTTCATTCTTCCAACCTGGACATTACACAGACATATAAACCTCACTTCCCTACTTTCCAACAGACCCCTGAACCTCTGAGAATGTCTGCCACAGATGTGGGTGAAACATCAGGAGAGAAAGCCTCTCGAACATGGCCATAGAGCCCCCAAAACTCACAGCAACCCAGTTTATTAAGACATTGTACATAATGGGACTTGATCATCTGTGGATTTGAGGATCCAGCTTTGATCCCAAGAGCCTACTGTAGCTTTCTGCACATCCACAATCACAATCACAACAACATCCCATCATAGTACCATTAGACAAAGTGAGTTTGCTGTTTATTGGTGGCCAGTGGCTCTCGTGAGAGTGAATCTGCTCCATGTTTTAGCTGGAATTGTGCAGGATATTTCCAAGGTTCTGCCAGTTGAGATGTGAAATGCAGAGGAAATGTATTACCTGTCTGTTGCCACTATTTCATCAGAATATATTTCTTTGTAAACATGCACATATCCATCTGTTTAACTGATGCTCATACTAAAGCAGTACAAAATGGTATTGTTGGATAAAGTATTTGGTCTGTTAATGCGGAAAATGTACTATCTGCTGGTTTAAAATAAACCTCTTATCTTTAACTTATCCAGAGCTCTCGAGAGAAAAAAGTGGAAATCTGGTTGCTTCTGCAAACTGCACTCTTTTCCTGTTAAAACATTCTTAAGGAGATAGGGCGGTAAGTGAGACAAATTAATTGGATATCTGGTTCTATATCCTATATCTGAAGCTTGATTTATATGTGAAGTGGGCCACCGGCAAAGCACTTACCCATGTAAATGTTTTATGTGCAACCTATCATTTTCAACTGCTTACCATGCACCTCAGACCGTTCATGTGTATCATTAGCATGTCATCAATTGGGAGGCTGAGCAGGAGTGCTGCTAGCGTGCTAATGCTGCAAGCAAATGGGCATGCAGTCAATTCTTTTGAACATAAAAGGAAGGAATTGGATTCTTCGAAGAGGGAAGTGCTGTACCTGTAAACCATCCAACATATTTTAGGCCAGGGGTGGAAAAATTCTGGCCTTCCGTGTGATTTTTTTACTCCAGCTTCTAACATTCCTATGCAGCACGAGCTATAGGCAAATGTGATGGGACCTGTAGTCCAACAATATCTTAAAGGCCAAGGATTACAGTCAAGATGAGTTTGGATTTTTTTTTGTCATGTCAGGAGCAACTTGAGAAACTGCAAGTCACTTCTGGAGTGAGATAATTGGCCGTCTGCAAGGACATTGACCAGGGGATGCCCGGATGATTTGATGTTTTATCATCCTTGTGGAAGGCTTCTCTCATGTCCCCGTATGAGGAGCTGGAGCTGATAGAGGAAGCTCCTCCACCTCTCCCTGGATTCGAACCTGTGACCTGTCGGTCTTCAGTCCTGCCGGCACAGGGGTTTAATCTACTGCGCCTCCTATGAGTTTGGATGATATGATGGTATGCAACCAAAGACCAGCACTAAATTAGTTATACTGAATTCTTTCATGGAACCTTCAAATGGGTAAACACCATTATTATTATTTGATACACAACAAATAATAATGCATCGGTGAATAATTCATGCAGATCCAAGTAGGGTGGTCTTTTGCAGCTGACAGATGGCAATTTTGTCAGCACCAATTGTTTTTAAGTGTAGGCCAAGGTCTTTAGGCATTGCACCCAATCACCACTGGGACCACCTTGACTGGCTTGTGCCAGAGTCTTTGCAGTTCGATCTTTAAATCCTTGCATCATGTAAGCTTTTCCAGTTGCTTCTCGTCAATTCTGCTGTCACGTGGGCTTGCAACATAGATGATCCATACTTTGTTTTTTTTCCATGATTGTGAGGTCAGGAGTATTGTGTTCAAAAACTCTATCAGTCTGAATTTGGAAGCCCCAGAGTAGTTTGATGTGCTTATTTTCTGTAACTTTTTAGGCTTGTGATCCCACCAGTTCTTTGTCACAGGCAGATGGCATTTGTGGCACAAGTTCTAATTGATCATCTGAGCAACTATATTATGCCTCTGCTTGGAGTCTG